CGCCGCTGTACATCGCGTGCCAGAACGGCCACCTCGAGTGCGTCCAGCTGCTCCTCGAGGCTGGCGCGGCGGCCAACCAAGCCTGCAACGACGGCACCACGCCGCTGTTCATCGCGTGCCAGAACGGCCACCTCGAGTGCGCCCAGCTGCTCCGCGAGGCCGACGCTGACATCAACCAAGCCCGCAACGACGGCACCACGCCGCTGTTCGCGGCATGCTTCAGCGGCCACCTCGAGTGCGTTCGGCTGCTCCTCGAGGCTGGCGCGGCGGTAAGCCAAGCCAGAAGCGACGGCACCACGCCGCTGTTCGCGGCGTGCCACCAGGGCCACCTCGAGGTCGCCAAGCTCCTCTCCTCCTACGGCGCCTCCCGCGCCGCTACGCCCTTCGGCACGCCCGAGGAGGCCGCAAACAGCCGCGGCCACACCGACCTCGCCGCCTGGCTGGTCGCCAGCCGCGGCTGGACGCCGCTCGCGCACCTTGAGACCCTCACCGCCGCCCGCGCCACCTCCCTCCTGCGCGGCGGCGCAAGCTTGCACGCGGGCGAGCCGACGCCGCTGCGGCGCGCCGCGGGCGGCGAGGGCGAGGCGGCGGCGCTGGTCCGGCGGGCGGCGGCGCCGTGGTCGCCGGCAAGCCACTCGCTCTTCCCCGCGGCGGCCCGCGCGCGGGCGGCGCTCCTCGTCCTCTCGATCTACGAGCGGTACCACCTCGCCTCGGCCGGAGCCACGAACGGCATCGCGGCGCTCGACTTTGGCCACTGCGTCTTGGGCTTCGCCATCACGCGCGAGTCGCAGTAGGGGGAGTTGCAGTTGGTTCGCGCCCTCACGCTCACGGCGCTGTCTTTGAGTTGGCGCGTTTTGTGCTGCTGCACGCGGTGGCGAGCGAGGGAGAGGGGTAGAGTGCGTGAGAACCCAAGACGGGACGTACTGCGCGGCTCCCTCCAGCTCGGAAGAGGTGGCCCTCAAAGCGTAGGCCGGCGGGGACGTCCCCGTCTTTCCGTGTGCCGGTGTGCCGTCTGCCGAGTTCCAGTCCCTAGACAAAGAACTTTACTGAGAGGGACGTCCGCCGCAATTCGGACAGTCTAGTCCCAACACGCGCCACATGACGCCCACCGCCGCCGCGTCGGTCGGCGCGCGCCGACGCCGACCATCACCACCGACCGACGGCTCGCACGGCCGTGCGGTGAGCAAAAATTTGGGTCGCTGCGCGCCTGCCGGATGCTCTGCGACGTCTGGACGCTCGCCAGAAACGCCAGGAAGCTTGCCTTCCACCCCTGGGCCCGAGGGCGAACGGCAGTGGTCGGCAGCCTCTGCGACGCTCCGATCGGCTCCTCGACCTCATCGCCTGCGACGAGCCAGCATGGCTCGTCGCTCGACGGCAGCCTGCCCAGTATGCTCTCGGCATTCTGTACAGCCTCGCCAGGCTCTCTGTGACGGCCTGCAGGGCCGGCGCGGACCGCCTCGGGCGCGATGGCCCTCCTCAGTACCTACCTCTTCGATGCCTGTCGGCTCTCCAATCTCGTCGCCGGCGGCAGGCCCGCATGGCG